AGAAGCAGGTTATTGGTATGACTATGTTCCAGAAGCAATGTTTAAATGAGCTGCAGATATCAAGGTTTAATGCATACATGATGGAAGAGAAGTTCTTTGCTCATCTGGTTCCTACTGAATGCAGTCTGGGTTGGAAGGCTTCTGAGCTGTTGGCCAGGAGCATGTCATGCATAAAGCTATTCATACCTGGTTTTCCTTTAGCATTGGTCCTCCATAGCTCTCCAAGAACTTTAAAAAGGTGGTCAGCATTATCTCTGCTTTACAGATGGGGGCCAGAGACATGAAGAGGGACATGAATAGCCCTTAGCTTTTGAGTCTCAAGCCTGTTAACCTTCTGTTATACATAGGAGACTAGGGTTCTGCAGAGCTGGCTCTGGCTAACCTGATCCTAAGCTCATTCAGTGTTGTGTGTGAGTAGGATATATGTTACAATGTCTAGGTACTATAGCAATAAGTTTGGTGGAAGCACAGGGATAGATAAAATTAAAAGAAAAGGTACATTTGGAGGAGCAAGCAAAGACTGCAGGGAAAGGACACTGGACAGGTGGCCTGGCTGACCTCGCTGGGAGCACTATTACACTGACAGGTGGCCCTTCCAGTCTGAAGTGAAGTAATTTAGCACCTGCTGGCATAAATGTTTCACTTTTCTCCCCGTTTACCAGCTGAGTTGTGATATTTGCATGATGCACCTGCAGTCTAGGTAGTTGGCTGTCTTGCATCAAAGCTTCTGGCCCTGGCCCCTGAGACCCTGGAGCACTGCTGGAAACCTGCCTCTGCCTATCTTGTTGTGACATGTTTTCCTCTCTTGCAGGGGACGAGGAGTTTATGGGGTTGTCAAACTGATGTGAACGGTGGGAGGTACAGCAGCAACTATCAACCACCAGCTTGAACATAAGCACCAGCAGTGGGGGACCTCTTGAAATGCCAGGTGGAAGACATTTGTGCTCTTCGAGCACATGTTGATTTCAGCATCTGAACAGTTAATGCTTTATAAAACACCATGATAAAAGGTGTAGTGTGTCCATGTGTCTGTGTCCTGGCCTTTTTTAGCTGGCTGTGTGCACAAGAACTTAAGAGTGGGAAATCAGGGCTTATTGGGATGACTGCCTTATGCAATATTTGCTGTCTCATTGAAATGACATTCTTTTTTCCTGTCTCATGTTCTCTTCCCAAGTCTTTTCTCTCATCCCTGTGGAACTGGAGACATTAGTACACAAGTCATGAAAGCTTAACCCAGTCAAAAAGGGAACTGGAACAATTCTTGAAGGAAAGGTCCATCAATAATGTAGCAGGATTGGTGCTCCTGCTGCTTGAAGAGCAGGCAGGCTGAGAGAGAAGAAGCCTGCAGGTGTGGCAGGGGGGCAGTCAGGAGCCGCACGACAGAGAAAAGGGGGAGGGGAAACTGGCTTTGCAGTGTGTAAACCCAGGCCTGAGCTGGTTGGGCAGTCTAGCCCTGGAGGCTGCTGAGAGCACATCTCCTGGGCAGGATGACTGCAGCTCCTGAATAATGCCTAAGAGATTACAGATGTGGTAACATATGGAGGTTTGTGATTAAGTAAGGGGAGGAGGAGGTCCTACCACACTCCTGGAGCAAGGCCAGAGGCCTGAGAGTAAGGTTAGAACCTGAGAACAGGACAGAGGGAGGACAGAGGCTTGGGAGTAAGGCCAGAGCCTGGGTGAAGGGAGAAGATGGGACCAGAGAAGGTCCGGTGCCCAGGAGGGACTAGGTATCTAGAAATAGTGTGGAGATGGGAGCCAGGGTGGGCTTAAGGACAGAACCAGAACAGGTTCAGACCCAGGAATAAGACATGAATAGATGCGAGCTCACTCAGAAACCCCTGGGGCAGGATCCCTTTTCTTAAAAGCATAAGTACACCAAGGTGTGGCAGGAAAATGGAAGGGGAGGATCAGGGGAAACAAGGGATGAGTATCCACTAAGGGGTGTAATGGCCACCCCTGGGACAGGCCTTTGTTACAAATAGGTATTGAATGTGATAGATGGTGGGGCAGCCTCTGAATCAGAACCTCCTCACTGAATGCTGAAAGCTACAGTGGGAGAGGAGCAGGGATGGTTTTGTATCTGCACTCGGCTACTCTATGAGATAGGAGTCCTCTGTTTGTATGTACAGGCAGCTTATGTCCCAGAAATCCTATGGCCCAAATATTGGGGGAGAGAAAATTACCCATTAAATTATGAATAATTTATGAACTTTGATAAACCTAAAGTAAAGATCCCCAAGAGGTTTTCCAAGAAAGCATGTTGTCATTTTGAAGTTCAGCATCTTCCCAACTGCTGGATTTGGTGTAAGTCAGTGGTGAATCCTATATGGCCTTTGCAGTTGGAAGAAGACATAGTTAATTCATCTTTTTCACTGGGGCTTTCCTAGGTAGTCAGCTTACAGTTTGGAGAGGAGTCCAGTGAGACTGAGGGGACCCTCTCCTGTAACTGCAAGCACAGTCTAGCTCATCATATTGCCATCTGCAAGGAAGATTCTTCCCTTTGGGCAGGGTGGGTTTCAAGCAGCATCATAGCCCAATAAAATGCTCCTGAGAGGTATATACTCAGACAACCTGAGTGCTTTACAGTCACTCTGGAACACTGTTGAGCAAGGAAAAATCTACATTATGGTCGTGGTGATGATGATAAGCTATTATCTACCATTTTCCCTCAGATGCTCTCAAAGGCCAATGTCATTATAACCATTTTAAAGAGAGGAAAGCTGAGGCTATAGTTTAACATTCATATAGTGAGTCAGTGGAAGAGCTGGGAATGGAGCCCAGGTCTCCTGAGTCCCTGTATGGCTTTCTAGCCACATTATCATAGAACTGCTGCTGCCTCTGGTGTGGACCAATTTCTGGGTCTTGCCACCCTTGGGTGGAGGGGAAAAGATGGGAACAGATTGTCTATATGTGAAAGTGCAGATTGGGTTGAAGGCAGGCATTGAAACTGACCCCAGCCCAGGCATGGCTCATGAAAAAGTGTGTGCCTGGATGCACAGTATCCTTTGGTGTGGCCTGCTCCCTGAATAATCACAGATTACCAGGATTTAGCTCGAGGAGCTGAGGAAATGTTGATCTTTGCTGTGGGAGAACAGTTCCATAAGAAGAAAGCACCAGCTGGGGATAGGCAAAGGGCAAAGTGGTGACCTGCAAGGGGTTCTGCTGATGCTGGCAGTGGGGTTCTGCAGCAGGAGCTCTTGAGAACCCAGTGATGCGTGCACCTGCCTGATGTCACAATACAAGGATGCTGTAAAACCTGGCACCACAGGTGAAACATTCTTGTCCACGTGACGGTGGAAGAGACAGAGCTGAAGTCATTTCTGTGGAGGAAACCAGGGCTTGGATAAGTGTGTGGGGACATCCACTACCACCATGAAGTTCCAGAAGAAAAGAGAGATCAAGCAGCAGATCCGGGAGCTGCGTACCATCATTTCACTGCAAGGTCATGCTCTCTCCTTTGGCTGAGATTAATTGGCAAGAGTGGAAAGGCTGTGGGAGCCCCTTGGGCTGCTGGTCACCAGAAACACACTACAGCCTGGAGCAGTGAAGCTGATGTGATGGTAGCTGGGTTGGGTTATTGGGCTTTAGAGATGACACATTACTGCTATGGAAAGTCTGGGTGAGGTTATGGATTTGGGGATCTCATGACTGACAATCCCCACAGTGTCCAAGATGCAGTAGGACCCTTATATAGGTATGGATCCTCCCTGGCTGACACTGATGGGTACATAGCAGAAATCTCCTTGGCAGAAGGGATTCTGGGTCAATCTAAAACCCAGAGAGAAGCTACTTCATTGTCCCCAAGTTATGGGTGCTACAGGGACACTCTTGGGGGCAATAGCCTGTGTGAATATCTACAATGAATCCCAGTGTAGGTCAGTCCTACCTTCTTAGCACCCATATATGCTAGTTAGGGCAGTCAGAGTTTGGCACCTTCCACAGGAAAGCCTGAGATGATGTTTCTATGGGATGGGCACAGAGAGGAAAGCTGGGGAATCCCATTGGTGTAAATCAGCGAAGCTCCGCTGCAGTCAGAGTGATGAGTTATACCAAATTCAAACAAGCTTGGCTGGAGGGACAGCCCTGATCCTGCTATTTCCTGTGGTGCCCGGAGCTGGAATAACCTCTCTCCCTCTTCTGTCTCTAGAGCAAGGCAAGAAGCTCTTTGTACAGGCGATTGAGGAGAAGATCAGTCAGAACAAAGAGCTTATCAACTTCCTGCGTGGGAATGTGCGGAGCAACATTGGTATGCTGGGCGTTGCTCAGAAGGTACCTATGACTCTGTCCCATCTTCACATGTCTGGAGTCTGGGTTTGTTCTAATAGTCAGAGACAATTTTGATAATAAGGGGGTGACATCATTGATGGTGATTGGGTCAGGTTTGTTTCTATCCCTTTCCTTTCCCCCACCCTCACACATCAGCTGCTGCTGCACAAAGTGGTCCCTTCTGGATGGTAAGTTTGAAATAAATGGAACAGCAAGAGAGCAAACAAACCAAGCTTCCAAAGCTTCAGCCCTGCCGGCCTGGGGTTTAGCCCCTACCCCTACTTAGGAACCAGCATCCTTCCCAGAAACCTGCAGGATGGACACTTGGCTCTCCAATCTGGCCCTAACAGCCAATGGGGAAGGGCTTCCCATAGCTCAGGAGACTCAAGGCAAATGACCCAACACCAAACGCACTGCTGCCAGCACTAACCTACTGCAGGGCTAGGGTAGGGCAGAACCTGTCCCTGTGGCATGTCCCTGGTTACTCTTCAGCACCTGGGTCAGCGACCCCGCGTCTCTGGCAATCAGCACCCTGGACAGGAGACACTGTCCCCAGGTAACAAATTTACTCTGGATTAGGGAGGTTTACTGTGAAGTAAGCATGTGCACATGTAGAAGCATATGCTTACTTCACCATAAACTATGCTAATTTGAAGTTAAGCGTCTTGTGTAGACATGCCTACTGTGACACCAAGGCCAAGTCACTAACACCTAATACGGAGCTCTAGCTTCTGGGCACACAAATTGGGCCTGGTTCCCAAAGGCACTGAGCGCTCAGGGCACCCAGTGAATTGTTTGGTATTATAGCTGTTCAGCATTTCAGAAAATTGGGTCCCATCTGTACTGGTCTTGGCAATCAAAACTGAGGGACTTGAATTCTGTGGGCTTTGTCCTTTACTTGCCTTGTTATCATTCATAGAAGCAAAGACACACACAGTGCTGAGGAGAGAGGGAAGGTGCATTGCTTATTTATAAATGATGCTCTAAGGTGGGAGGGGAATTACAGAGTATTGTTATGAGTTTGACCCTAGGTTTTTCTCTGACTCCCTCCTGCCTGTAGCATGACCAGATGATGATTTTGGAGGCATGCCAAGAGCAGAAGCAAATGAAGATGTGTTTAGCCAGGAGCACAGTAGAGGTAACCACAGAGCAGGCCCCCAGCACCCCCCAGCCATTTTCCACTCATTAATGGAACTGAGAAAAACAGGGCTGGAGGGGAGCTGAGAGGAGGCTTAAGGGAAATCCTCCTCCTCCTCTGGGATGTGCCAACAAACCTTGTCTCCTGCTTGGTCAAAGGGGTTGGGGGGTTGAGAGGTTTAGGACCATGCCCAGAGCCATGCGCCCTATCAGCTGCTCATGGGTGACCCCTTTTCCAGGTACCTTGTAAGCTTCACCCTCTCCTTTTAGGCTGCTCGAGAGAAGCTGAGGAATTACATCTTTGACAAAACAAATGTGCACAACTTGCTGCTTTATGAAGTGAAAAGAAGGGGTCAGGCCCTGGAAGGGCTGCAGAGGAGGCTGCAATTTCTGAAGGACATGGAAGCAGCTGACAAAAAGTGCCACAAACAGATGCAGGTGACAAGGGCTCTGCTCCAAGGGGAAGACCAACGGTGTAAGAAAGATCTGTTAATTGTATTGGGCTGAGAAGCTGGCCAGTCAGTCCAACTGGCCTCGGGTAGTTGAACTATAGGAGACTGAGCACCTCTGGATCTGGTTTGACATGTATGCTATTTGGGTGGACGTGCACACTCGTGCACGCTTGTGCTCATGAATGCCCATGCAGGTGTCTATCCATGCAGCGCTTTGTCTTGAAGACCCCACATCCCAAGGCTCTTTCTTAATCCACAGATGCCTGGATGAGGGACCTCCTTTGGAGTCCATTTCCAATTCTAGTCCATCCAGATGAGTGGCTGCAGAGTGACCCTGGCCCCTTCCTGTTTGAAGGGATTGAGCCCACTCATTCATTATATACTAGGTCTGGCCCCCTGCAGGGGCTGCAATGCAGAAGAACGCGGAACAGTTAAATCCATTCTACTAAGGTACTGAGCAGGAGGCAGGTCCAAGTGTGAAGACCCCAGTTAGTGGGGCCATGGAGACAGTAACCTGGCCATGGAGAAGTTAGCAGGCTAGCTGCACTGCATTTGTCAGTGGTAATACTTAGCTTTGCCTTCCTTGAAGCATGCAGCCAATTGGCCTCCTGATTCCACAGGGCTCTGGACCTAGACAGCCCCTGGGTTTTAAATAGACCCAATCAGTTCCCCCTCAGGGCTCCTTTCACCCTAGGCCTCTGGGGCAGTTCCACATGCCAAGCAGAAGCATAAACCTTTACTCCAGACCTTTCTGTGTTGCAGATTATTCGCCAGCTGGAGAATAACATAGAGAAAATGATGATGAAAATCAATACTGGTGAAAAGATCTACTATCTTTACCTCAAGATGATGGACTTCTTGAAGGACGTGAGCACCCGCACCTTCTGCATGATCCCTCCATTACCCTCAGTTGGTAAATGGGGGCATAATGCCTACCTGCAAGCCCACCCTACCCCCATGAGCTCATGCTAAACCTCTCACTGGCCTGGGCATGAGCAGTATTAGGCTCTAATTCACAAATTTAGATTGAGAAGATTGGTAGATGGGACTAGGAACCAGGGTGGTTTCAGGCAGGACCCTTGGCAGCTGAGGACAGGAGAAAGGAGCAGTTCTGAGTTTGGCCGGGGGGTCACTCACCAGTAGCAGAAACAACCCCTTGCTCTGTAATTGAGGCCAGTGGGCCCTGGTTAATGTAACTGATAGTGCTAATCCTGTTGCTTGTCAGGGTTTGGCCTGGTGCTAGCAGATAACTAGTCAGAAGGGTCAGATCTGGACTGGAGCTTCGCCGGAGCTCATGGGTGCTTAGATTCAGGTTTTGGCTTTGAGCTATCTCTGCCTGTAACTCACTCGCTGAGGTCAGCTCCTGTCTGGGTAGCTCTGTCCACTATGGCAGTGTCTCAGAGATGTGCAGGCCTAGATGTGTGAAAGGGCCTCCCTTCTTAAGCCCCAGACTCTCCCTTCTTAGAGCAGCTGCCCACGTTGTGTGGAGTGACCTGCTCTGAATGTGCTAGTGGAGGGAAAAATGGTCTCTCTCTCAAAATCCAGGCTCCTGGTCTGAGCTGGTAAATACCAGCCCAGCTGTCTGCAGTGCATAATGCAGCATTTACACAGTGCTGCAGTGAGGAGTCTGTTGCAGGTGGTATCACAGAGCATAAGGCTTCAGTGAGAAACCCACAGGGGATTCAGGCTGAGGAACAAGAGGCAGTGAGAAGCCAGCAGTGGAAACATGTGAGGCTGCACAGGAAAAGGCCATCAAGCCTCAGGTGTAGGGGTGTTTGGAAAAAGACATTCATATTGGTAAAATCTTTGGGTCAGCCTCAGACCTGTCCCCTTGGAGCTGGCCAGGACGCTGGCTCTTTTTTTGTTTGTAGGGGAGGAGTAGAATGAAGCAGTTTAACTATGAAGCTGGAGCTGTTGACCATCATTTCTTTGCTACTTGCTTGCTGTGGCAGAGGCACTGCCCTGAGAGCTCTGTCTGTCCTTCCCAGCCCAGAACAGACACCTCTGGTTCAGC